CATAGTGATGGCAGTTTTTACAAGAGACGTCGTCCATGTAGCAAAGGCATGACCATGAGACTTACTTTGAGGCTTTAGCCTCTAATCATTAGCCCAGTTGTAGGGGATTGACGAATAACGCCTCGAATAGCACAGATGGGGGGGAGGGGGCAGGGGTCGAGTGAAATATATGTACCCCGGAGCTAGCAGACTGATTCGACGGGGCAAGAGGGAGACTTTAATAGGACCCAGGAAGGACTAATTAACAATATGACAGACTCTGATCAACACTCCCAGCACAAGGGTGAAGGGTTTTTAATGAATGCCGCTCGAAAGAGCACACCCCGCTACATTAAAAATAAGCACGGTAAAAATTGTGACAGGAAAGGCGTGATAGGAGGATATAGGAAATGTGAATAGGTTAGGGCAGAATGGGAGATACCAAACTGTTTAGCACACGTTTGGCAAAAGGATCGGCTTCACTCGTCTCTTTGACGAGTTGTAATATGGTGCTACGAGTGGAGAACTCACTGATGATGCCCGCGAAACGTCTTGGAATGTACCACGTCCACGGTTCAACTTTGGAAATGATGATGCATACAATGGACTCCGGACTAGGTGCGTTCCAATAAGTCTTACCAATATGACCAAGTTGCGAAAACAAGGTCAAACAACTTCAATACAGTCTGGTGTTTGATTTTCTGTATTTATGAATATTTTAATATCACAGCTGTATTATTTGAAATATATATAATATCACCCTTAGCTATACAGTGCGAAAAACTAGGTAGACCTTTGAATAACGCTTGTAATAACTGTGAGAGAATCAGAGGTAAAAAAATCAACTTAACCTTAGCCAATCATTCAAACGCTGATAGATTTGGGCATAACATTAAGAAGAAGAATAGTTAAATTCGTAAGGTGCTCTTATACAAGATCTACTGATAGTTTCGAAACGTGCTCACCATGAATATCAATCCTTAACCCTGCGTCGCGTCCTCGACAGCAAATTAAAGTAATTCAAAGACGCAGATTTTGGCATGCGAATTAATCAGAATTTCTAAATTTTTCCTTTTGATCAGTCAGATTTTTGCTTAATTAGATAAAGCATAAATACACTGCTCTGGGTATAGAAGCATTCAAGTCTTACATAAAGATAGAGAAAATGTGTTATGAGATTCTTGTCATAACATTTATAAATAAAATTGACTTTTTACCAGAAATAAGTCTCCAAGTCAGGTCGCGGCAATGCTTTAAGACATAGAGCTTGGAGTTTTGACGGCATTGCGGCCACCAAATGAACTGGGGACAAACGAAGCAACACCCCGCCTGGGCTGCTTAAGTTTGTTTCAAGGCGGCCACGTTGACTTCTTCCTGGTTGGTTCTTATATTGATGCCAAGGGAGAGAACGGCTGGGCTTAAGGCACTCATCAAATGTCTGGCTTTCTGCTCTGTTTTTTTCCGCGTTGGAAACACGATGAAAACGTTTACTTTCTGATGTTACCTTATTCTTCTTAGATGGTGTAGGCGCCATCTCTTCTTCCTCACTCCAAACGCCGATGCCAGGCTTACTCCACTCGGCAGACACTTCATCTAACCAACTGGTCTCCAAACTATTCCAGATACCGGCAACAGGCGAGAATTTTTCTTCATTCCTGTGTGACAAATAAGTTGCATGCACAAACAAGTGGGCTTCAGTGCGAAGTCGATCAAACATTGGAGAGTAGACAAGCTCAAGTCGGACGTATCCGAGGGGCGCCAGCTCGAGTGGTGGCTGAAGACGAGCCGCTGATGTGTCAGGCTTGTAAGGAGTACTATCGCCCGATAATTCATTGATGAGGTCGACATCAATGCCTATACTTTCACCGATGTTGTCCATGTTGGCAGGGTATGTAAGTGACAACAAGCGACAGGGATTTACCAGAAAGCCGTTTCGAGAACAGGTGGCCATTTTGGAGAGACTAGTAAGTCGTAAAAGAAACGATCTGCTTTCGTTGATGGACATGAAATCTTTTTGCTGTTGAACCGATAAGAAGACATGAAAAGGGAGAGAAAAATATGTAATAAAAAAGTAAATACCCTGGCGAAAAAAGGCAATCTGAGATATCCAAGAATAAAAGAATAACAAAATATCCCGCAAAATATTAGTTATTACGAGCATATATAGCTGTCTGGCATCCATAAAAAACAACCCTTAAATAGGTAATAAAGTCCAAGTATTTTAAAGTATGCAGGCTAATAATTTTATCTCGTTTTCGCAGACTTGGCCAGAGAAACAGGGAGACCTTGTACTCTTCAAAATAATTCATACTAATTTATAGTTTCGGACGGCTGACTTGCTATATTGAGATGCTAAAAATAATAATGGAAACAATGAAAAAGGATGGAGGATGAAGTATGCTTAACAGACCTACTGTCAGCAGGGCGTGATACGAGGATATAGGAAATGTGACTAGCCCAGGGCAGAAGGGGAGATACCACAACTGTTTAGCACACGTTTAGTCAAAGTATCGGTTTCACTTGTCTCTTGACGAGTTGTTGTGTGGTGCTAAGAATGGCGAGAATCACTGACGATGCAGGCGAAATGTCTGGGAATTTACCACGTCCACGGTCCGACTTTGGAAATGATCATTCATATAATGAACTCCGGACTAGGTGCGTTCCTCTAAGTCTTCCTAGTAATATGACAAAACAAGGTCAAACTAACGCTATACAACGAAATGAGACTGCGATCACACAAAAGGCCACACCATCTTGGTCTTCATACATTCCATAAACATGATTCTTCACTAGATGCTCGTAAGCCACTTTATTTATGAAGGGAAAAAGCTGCCACCGAACGCACTTCTGGTTCGGTAAGTTAACTTCATTCAGCAAATCAAATCACTAAATGCCTCATCAAGATCGCGATGTTTATGTGTATAAAAATCGACTACGGTTGCAGCTGGTTGCCTTTTCTCTTGGTTTAGTATATTTTTGCACTATTTCGTAAAGTATGTATTCTTGCTCTGATTATATTTGTCATGGTGGTATAAACGAAAGCTTAGCACAGTTTCACTTGGGTACCAAGAAGATGAGACGAAAACTTCTTCGCATAATACAAGAGTTTTTCCTATGCGACAATCTTCCTCGGTTTCCGATGCGACTACACCACCAATTCATTCCAACCGACTTTTCCTTCGAAATGGAAAGTCATGTCACAAGAATTCAAACAAACGCTATACAGCTAAAGGTGATTGCGCCTGAACCTAATATCATACCATCTTGGTCTTTATATCTACGAGGCCGGCTCATACTCGGTGTGTTTTATAGCGTCGAAGATTCGCAAAGAAAATAAGGTGTCCTATATACTTTGATATCAAGTGCAAAGTTCGAAAGACTTAAAAAGGGTTTATGTTGTATACCGGATTAATAAAAGCAAATATGATGATTTTTAACTGGGATGATTAATCTAACGGAATTAAATAGTAAATTTTGCAGAAAAAGCAATAGTATTAATGGTAATAGGGAATTCTGCTGCCGCTCAAGCACACACTGTGGATCAAGTCTAAAATATCCATACAGAGAAAACAAATCTGATATGAATTTCAATAAAAAATTTTTCAAATGAAGGGCTTACTTGAAAATAGTTGGCGAATGTAGAGGCCTCTGCTCTGGCCTCTTGGCTGGGTATCAGGCC